AAAAGGCGGCCCCGTCCAGGAAACACACAGCCAGGCAGACGAGCTCCGAGCCAGCTCCCATGTCAGAGGACGAAGGGAGCACATCCAGCCAGTCAGGGTCAGAGAAACAGGACTATAATGGAAAAACAGGCAAATCTCCAACATCTATAAACAAAGTTGTTGATGGCACAGCTGATATTTATATAGGAACAGATGAGGCAAGGCTTCATCTGTTTAAATTTACCCTAAGGAGGTTCGGTTATTAGACTCCAGGAACAATGAAGATGGCGTTTCCATCCCAGCACCCACCACCAGCATGGATCACAGGACAGGCTCTCTGCAGCATCCCTGGCACCATGATGTATGATATATACCGTTGTGCATGTTTTCTTTATTCTAGATCTTCCAGTTTCCTGCGGTTTATTTATTATTTTATGGATCTTAAATCGAGATTATTTTATAAAAAACTTTTTTTCTCAAGCACTTCTCTTGTTTGAAAGATAACTATACGATGTTAGCTTACATTTGCTGAATCAGAAAGGAGAACGTTTTTAGGTTTACACAGAAGAATAAATAGTTAGCATAGAGGTGACAGAAGGCAACAATGTACAAGAAATCTAATAAAACTATAAAATGTATTTTATTTTTAGTACTGCAAATAGATAAAAAAAAAGAAAAACCTTTTATTCTTTTTTAGTGATAAAAGGGATAAAAAGAAGGCAAGAGGTTAATTAGGAACCCCAATTTCTGGTTTTAATTTCAGAGAAGTCAGTGATTCTGAGCTATTTTCTCTTTTTAAATAGGAATGACCACAGATCAGCTTTAAAGAGCTTTTGAGTTTCCAGCCTTTGAGAGCAAGATGGGACATTATCAGGAACCGCGATGCTGTCAGGATGCAGTTTGTCTAAGTTAACAAGCCAAGAAACTGGTCTATTTTATCACCACAGTATCATTCTCCAAATATGACATAGTTTTTAGGTTCTTTATCAGATCAGAAAGATACACTTCACTGTTTTTTGTTTTTGTTTGTTTTTTCTAGCTGTTGGTCTTACTATTTTCATGCTAAACAAATTATCAGGCAAAGTTTTTTAAATCAAACCTAAAGATCACAGATAATCGTCTAGATTCCTAACTAAAGCAAGACGAATGAGAGTTAAGAAGCCATCCTTAACTNGCAAAGTTTTTTAAATCAAACCTAAAGATCACAGATAATCGTCTAGATTCCTAACTAAAGCAAGACGAATGAGAGTTAAGAAGCCATCCTTAACTAAGGAATTTAATCATCCCCTTAGCAAAAAGTAGTATACGTGAAGTATACTAAATTGGGACATTTTTTAAAGTTTACTACTTTAGTAAAGACATTTTATACTTCTCATTGTAAGTCAAGTACACTTGACTATACTATTGTTAAGTATATGAAATATAGTTTAGAATAAGTAAACTCTAAGTGCACTGCCTGATATTTTTAAATTAGTGCACTTTTAGTATACTTGAATAAACTACTCAGCCGGTAAACACTTAAATTACTACCTAGTAGGTAGAAAAATAAATATGCTACAATCTTTGGAATATTTCCCATGAATGGGAGCAAACTGTTAATTTTTCTAGAATGTCTTTCAGCATAATCAGTTATTGGGAATATTCGTTGTTGGTAAATTTATATTTTTTTTCTGTCAACTAAACCTTTGCAAACACTGTCATCATTACTAAGGAGGTAACAGCATTTATTTGATATAAAGTACCCTTACTGGATATAGTGATTTATTCTAAAACGTTCATAAATAACATTTTTAAAGCCATTTATAAAAATAATAATTATTGAGGAGTACAAAGAAGAAAACAACTTTTCCCCCAATATATATTCTTAAATAACTTAAAATAGATTATTTAAAATAAATGTTAAATTGGCTCGTGGGTCAAGCCTGAATACAGCTATGCTCTTTGTAAATTTATGTTTAACAATGAAGAGTATGAAGGTTATGTTTTTGTCCATTGTGAAACTACGGCCGATAGGGGGCACTAATGATCCACGCCCATGTTTTACACCGGACGTATATTCATGACGTACCGGATGTGGAATTTTGAATCGTATCAACCGCTGAGCTGTAGCGTTGATATTCATCTGAGAAACCAGCAGCATCTGCATGAACCGACAGCTGAAGGAGAAACAACGATCCTATAAAACCTGCGAATTTCGGTAAAGTTTGGAAATGATTATTTTCTCTGTTCCATCCGGTAAAACCGACAGAAAAGGCACCTAGTTGCATTTATAGATTTTCTCTCAAAGCTAATACTGTGTTTTTTTTTTATTCTGGGGTCGAAAATGAGAAGAAATGCTTCAATCTGCCGTTAATTTCCTGAGGTTTTATCATCAACGTTTAATGTTTTTTTATAACTGCAGATGTGTTGCTAAGTAGGCTTTTCCAACTTTTTTTTTGTAATCATTTAAAGGATTTTTTTCATTACTTTAATATATCGGTCACGTGACTCGTCCTTTTAAGTGTGTGATATCCTTCATGGTTTTTTCAATAACGATTCGTTTTTATAGAAAACAGAAATTATTTCCCCGTTTTTCCTTAAAAATAACTTATTTTTCTCTTTAATGAAAAAAAAAAAGTTCTATAAAAAAAAAAAAAAGATTTTAGGAATCGAGGTAGCAGACCTAGAAAAGGATTAGAGCCACTGAAAAAAAAATAGAAACAAAGTTTAAAGATTTTTACATTTTATTTCAGTGTAATATGAGGAAAAAAGTCAGGATTTCTGACTTTAGTCTCAGGATTCTGACTTTAATCTCACAATTCTGGCCATTTTTCTCACAATTCTGACTTTAATTTCACAATTCTGACTGTAATCTCAGAATTTGACTATTTTTCTCACAATTCTGACAATTTTTCTCACAATTCTGGCTATTTTTCTCACAATTCTGGCTATTTTTCTCACAATTCTGGCTATTTTTCTCACAATTCTGACTATTTTTCTCACAATTCTGACTATTTTTCTCACAATTCTGACTATTTTTCTCACAATTCTGGCTATTTTTCTCACAATTCTGGCTATTTTTCTCACAATTCTGACTATTTTTCTCACAATTCTGACT